GACTTGCTAGACCTAAAGAAGACAAGGATTCACAACAAGAAGATCTTGGGTGCAAAATAAATGTTTAAGATTTTGAGAGTCTTTTGTGTGTGACTTTGTAAGTCACCCTTTATATCTTTTGATGCATCGTGGTAGACATATTTAGGTTGTAAGTTGTTAATTGTAAATTGTTCACTCAAAGTTTGTAAGCAAGAGTGTATTGTTCTTGATTGAAGCTGTTAAGCAAGATCAAGTATTGTCTTTGAAAAGTATCTTCTAAAGCTTATTCATTTGTTGTTATCACTGCTGTGATTTAGGGGAGTGAGAGGTGTGTCATATCTAAGAGTGTCCTAGGTAGAAGTTGCACTAGGTAGGGATTAAGTGAGTGGTTGTAAACGGGATACTACTGATAGTGGATTTCCTTCTTGGTTTGGTAGCCCTCAGATGTAGGTGATGTTGCATTGAACTGGATTAACAATTCTTTGTGTTGTTTATCTTTCTGCACTTAGTATTCTGCTCAATTTAAATGATTAGATAAGTTGTTTGTCAGTCTGCAGATGTTACAACAAATGACATGACACTGTTAATTCTTAAAGTAAATTCAAAATACTCGGGTTCTGTCCTTGTTCTGTTTTAGCAGGGATCAATGTTCTAGGACATCTGAGATCTGTATATCAGAATTTCACTTTTTAAAATAAAAATTATATAATTTATTTTTAATTTTTGTTCTTGAATAAGTTTTTAAATACATTTAATTTTAAAAATAAAATAAAAAACTTTTAAAGTGAAATATAGATAAAGTTGATTTTTTTTTAACATAACCAAGTAATGATTTTTATTTACCAAAATAACCAAGTATTCAGAAAATTGTCCAAAATGGCTATGAAATCAACCTTGGGTCGCCATTTGAAATGACGAATGTGTTGAAATTGGATTTTGCAGAAAACCAATTCGCCATACCATCTGGCGAATGCGTTGAAAGTGAATTTCTGAAATTATCAATTCGCCATACCATCTGGCGAATGAGTGTTGTGGTGGATTCATGCGCCATCCTGATTGGCGAATCAGTACAAGGCTAGGGTTTCAAAAATCCATTATTGTTGGTTTTATATATTGAGTATTTTTTTATATTCATTTAATATTTTAAAAAAAGAAAAACGATTTTTTTTTTATATTTTGCATTATTAATTTTTTTTAAACATAAATATTATTAATAAATTTAAAAAAATTAGATTTAAATGTTTAAATAAAATTTTTAATTAATAAATTTAAAATAATGTGGTTTAATCTTAAAATTTATTTTTTAGTTAAAAAACTTACAATAATTAGGTTTAAATAAAAATAATTTCTAATTAATTTAATAAATTTAAGATAAAACCTAATTTTATATTTAACATAAATTAAATTTTAAGACCTAATTTCATTAAACATAAATTTATTAAATATAAAATTAGGTTTTATCTTAAATTTATTAAATTAATTAGAAATTATTTTTATTTAAACCTAATTATTGTAAGTTTTTTAACTAAAAAATAAATTTTATGATTAAACCACATTATTTTAAATTTATTAATTAAAAATTTTATTTAAACATTTAAATCTAATTTTTTTAAATTTATTAATAATATTTATGTTTTAAAAAAATTAATAATGCAAAATATAAAAAAGAAAATTGTTTTTTTTAAAACATTAAATGAATATAAAAAAATACTCAAAATATAAAACCAACAATAATGGATTTTTTGAACCCTAGCCTTGTACTGAATCGCCAATCAGGATGGCGCATGAATCCACCACAACACTCATTCGCCAGATGGTATGGCGAATTGATAATTTCAGAAATTCACTTTCAACGCATTCGCCAAATGGTACGGCGAATTGGTTTTCTACAAAATCCAATTTCAACACATTCGCCATTTCAAATGGCGACCCAAGGTTGATTTCATAGCCATTTTGGACAATTTTTTGAATATTTGATTATTTTGGTAAATAAAAATCATTACTTGGTTATGTTAAAAAAAATCGATAAAGTTATTATATGAAACATTGATTTATTATCAAATTAAGAGTTAAAAGTAAATATATTAACATTTTAAAAATTATTTTTGTATTATTTTATTGGACGAATTTAATATTTGAAATGAAAATGATGAGCTGATGAAGTATACATAGGTAGACATTAAACTCTAATAAATAGTCCATTAAAATGCACGAGACACATTTTCTATTCGGATAATAAATGACAAAGTATGGCCGTCGTGTATCCACGGTGTGACCGCGGTGGTACCGACACGTTTGTATACAGACCGCCTTGTCATTTGCCATTAACTGCTTCGACAACAATATAAAGATATTCTAGAGAAGTAAAAACTAAAATAAACGAGTCACGATCCATTTGACCGTTATTCTAGAGATTTTGAGAAAGTCTTCTCTCTCCAACTAACTTACACATGCCGTGACATTTATCCCGCTTCTGTCTTCCTCGAACACTCGCTGCAACTTGCTTGCATCATCCCAATCATCATTCATCTTCCACTAATTTATTTAACATGTCTTTATAAATCATTTACCATGAATACTCCATAATAGACCATACATTGTTTCATACAATTTCGCCAACACAAATATCATATCCAAACACCATATACTAGTTCATATTACTTTCTTGTAATTGAAATTCAATTCGTACCGTTCAAATTACATTAACTTATTCCAGTTTTAGGATTTTTGGTTGTGAAGAATATATAATTAACATGAGGAGCGACATGATGGAATTTGAGCGTGTTCTCAGTTACTTTGATGAAGATGGTGACGGCAAGATTTCACCGAACGAGTTAAGGAGTCGAATGGCGAAGATTAGCGGAGAGTTTGAATTGAAAGAAGCAGAAATTGCAATTGAATCATTGGATTCTGATGGTGATGGTTTATTGACTCTGGAGGATTTGATAACCCTAATGGAATCAGGGGGTGAGGATGAAAAATTGAAGGATTTGAAGGAAGCATTTGAAATGTATGATAATGAAGGATGTGGATTCATAACACCAAAGAGTTTGAAGAGAATGTTGAAAAAGTTGGGAGATTCAAAGTCCATTGATGAATGCAAGTTAATGATTGGAAGGTTTGATTTGAATGGGGATGGTGTGCTTAGTTTTGAAGAATTCAGAATTATGATGGAATAACTCTGATGCTATGTTGCTGTGTCTATAGGATGCTTTGGGTTTCATTCATTCTTTTGTAAATTATTATGTCTCGTTACTTTTATGCTCTGTAAATGAAGTTTTATATAGATCATTCTTTTTGAAAATAAGAAATGATGTTTCTACTTTTAAATTCTTCTATCAAATATAGTGTTCCAAGCATATACAAAATAAGAGATAAGAGAGAATTATATATATAATTTCTAGATATTCTAATGACACAATTGCTTGTAATTTGCTTTTCTAGCACTCATGAAACAGATGAGACAGATATAATATCTTGGCTAAAATATGTATCAAATTTAAGAATGTTATGAGTTTAATAGTAGTGTAAAAAGTATTAGATACATCCAATCATAATATTATAATATTATTATAATATTTTAAAGTGTTAAATTATATAAATAATTTAAAATCTACAAGTTAATTTGACGGAATACATGATTCTCATTCTTTTATATAAAAATAATTTATATTTCTAGTATAATTTTATTTATATCTTTATAAAAAATTTAACTATAAAAAGTGTTAAATATTTTTTCTCCTTGTAAAATTATTAAATTATTTTATTTGTCTAAATAATTTTGTTTCCATTTTTTAAATTCATACTAAATTATCATAAAAGTAGTTGTAGTCTTTTCTAAAGATAACTCCACGTGCATTTTTGAATGATTTAAAACATTATGAAAAAAAAATTTCAAATTTTGAATTGATTAAGTATAAGTTTTTTAGATATTAAAAACTCAAGATAAAAATCATTTAAAAAATATTGATATAGAAATTAATTTATGAGTTTATTTATTCTTTTAAAAATCAGATATTTTCCGTGCATAATTGTAGAATCATATTAAAGGATAAAGTTTTTCTTCAAAAGAATTTATTATTGTTGAATGTTTAGAAATTTAAACACAAAATTTCTCATTAATTTATAAGAGATTTATTATCAGCACATCCAAATGTTTTTTAATATGAATATTTAATTTTTAAATGAATTTTTTTTCAATATTTTAAATATATTTCAAAAAGTCATTTTAAAATATATATTTTTGAAAAACAATTCAAAAAATATAATTTGACTCAATAACAAAAAGTAAAATGTAGAAAAAAAAACACCAAAACTAAAATTATTTGCAAGGTAAATACTGTAGAAGTAAACAAAAGTGCAATTTTTTTATTAAAAAAATATATAATTGTGTATTATCATTCATTTCTATGTCTATTTAAATATTTATTTTATAATTATCAATATTCTAAATTATATGTCGTTTTATAAAAAATATTTGTACAAAATTAAAATTGTTTTACAATTTTAATATAATATTAATTATTATTTTTTAATATATTATTTATCAGTTTTTTTTCTTCTTCGTATTTTTTAATTTTGTTTTTCAATATAATTAATGTAAATTCAAAATCATTTCACTTTCTAACACAACAATAATTATATTTTTTTAATTAATATTCAAAATAACGTATTATTCTCTGTGTCTTAAATTAAAATATTTTAGACCTTTTATAAAAATTACAAAATTTAATTATTATTTTATTAAAAAGATAAATTATATATAATTTTACAATAATATTTTTTATAATTATAAATAAAAAAAGTTGAAAAAGAATATAGTAAAAAACATCATTAATATTATATTAAAAATTTAAGATAAATTATAATTTGAGACAATAATTTAAAAAGGAGGAAATATAAAATAACCGACAAAGAAAAATATAAAAACAATAAAGCCCCAAAAGCATACGTATATAAGAGCGTTGTTCGGAGAAGCTAGAATCGCAGTAACTTCAGTGATTACCGCATTGGCCTTCGCAATGGACTCTCCCTCCGGCGCCCACTTCTCCGGCTGGCGTCCTTCATCCATCTCTTCATCTTCTTCTCATAGCGTCTTTCTCATCGGTATACACATTACCTTTCTTTCTTCTTACATTTTTTATTGTGCGCTTTGATTCGATTTGATTTGTGTTTTCCCGGCGATTCAGGAGTGTCCGGAGGTACTGCATCGGGGAAAACCACAGTGTGTGACATGATTATTCAACAACTGCAAGATCATAGAGTTGTTCTAGTTAATCAGGTAACTTCCATTTTCCGGTTCTAGTTTTCAAATGTTATCATAAATCTGATACAAATCAATTCATGTAATTTATATATCGTTGTAGGATTCGTTCTATCGTGGTTTAACTAAAGATGAGTTGAAACGCGATCATGAGTATAATTTTGATCATCCTGGTATGTAATATGAACCAAGCTTAATTTTAGATTGCTCTGCATAATAATTGACTGTAATTTTATCTGGTACAAATTTTCTGGTTTTTGTTAGATGCATTTGATACCGAGCAACTCATAGAAACACTCATCAAACTTAAATCTGGACAGTCAGTTCAGGTTCCTGTTTATGATTTTAAGCTCCACCAGAGAGCTTCTGACAGATCCCAACAGGTTGGTACCTTTCTCATTAATTTAAATTAGGTGCTGTGTTTGTATCAGTTGTTCTCAGATTTGTTGGTATGTTTAAATCTAAGATAATCTGGGGTCACAAGGGCCATCAGTTGATATTGTTTTCATACCATTCAATTATTAATCACTCTATGTATTCCTAATTATAAGACTAATTCCTCGAGTCGGGGACCACAATGGCCAGCAAAACTCTTCCAACTTAACACTATTGTGTGTCCAGGGCTGGGTTCAAACCAAGATCTCTTTTTAAGATGGAAGAGAACCCTTACCATCTCATCTAAATGCTCTTGGGTAATTGTATATGTAATTAATTAAAAATAAAACACATTTTTTACAAACTTATTGTTACAACCACTTTTCTTAATTTTGGCGAAATTTATAGGAGGTCTTATAATAAGAGATAGAGATATTACATATTTGTCCTTGTATCTATTTAAGGATACATGATTTGTGTCTGTCAGTTTAGAAGAAAGAGCATAATTCATTTCTCTTATATATTGATTTTCCCGCCTTAAAACTAAATGCTCTTTCTTCACTGTGATTATTATTGAAACTCACTTTCTAGCTGTTTTCAGGCAATTATGATTGGTGTAAGATTAAAATGTAGGCAAGTGCTTATTGATTACTAATACTACTACTCACCTTTGGCAGGTCAATGCATCTGAAGTAGTTATTTTGGAGGGTATATTGGTTTTTCACGAACAACGTGTTCGCGACTTGATGAATATGAAGATATTTGTCGATGCAGGTTTATTGATCTTCTGTTTTGTTTATCATTTCAAGCTGTTGGACCATCTATTACGGGCTAAATTGGTTAAAAATACTACTATGTCTATAATGGCTCAAACCTAGTTAAAAGCTTGGGCTATATGTGTAAAGGTCCAGCTTTTAAACTTTATATTCACAAACCAAAAAGTGTTCTAGGCATGCTTCTGGTTATTTGAGGAAATGTAAATTGTTGCCTTCAAGATTCTTTAACATCATACGTCTCTCTGTTCTTTATAAGTTCTATTCTATCCCGTGTATCTGTTTTGAGATATATAGAAATGAGAAAGTAAGTTTCTAAGTACAAACCAACAATTTATTTTCAAACCTTCATCCCTATTGTAAGGGTACCAGAGATATATGGAGAATGAGTGGCAACCATGCAATCTAGTAAAATAAGGAGAATGTACTCCATGTTCTGCTTGTCAACTGGTTCGTCCAAAGTTTTTTAAATGATATATGGCGACAATTTTCTATTAGAATGATCTCTCTATAGAAATTGTCGCCTTGGTGTTGGATTTTATATTTTCTTGTGCTTGTAGTCATACTGATGTTGTACTGCATTTTATGTAGATCCTGATGTAAGGCTTTCCCGGAGAATAAGACGGGATACTGTTGAGAGGGGTAGAGATGTGCACTCTGTACTGGAACAGGCAAGACTTTTAATCTTTTGTATATTATAACTTTGGTATGTCAGGAATTCAGGACTCAAGGTTATTATTTATGAAAAGTAACAATTTAGTTTTATTTATATATCTTACAATTGATATGTTTTTTTTTAGCATGACAACAAAGAAGTAGCAGAGACAAACTAGTGCTAGATAGATACAACAAGTCCCACTAATTGTAAAGGATATGCTTTGAGCCAAAATTGCATTGCCGTATAATATGCAAACAAGTGAAACAACGAATCCTGAAACTCTCGCATTATGATATTTCCTGTCTTAAATATACAATAGTGCACTAAAATCATCAAATGGTTTTTCTTCTTTCTTAAAATGAAGGGGAAAAAAACATATCTTCTTATTTTAGCATAAAAAATATAATATTTTTCTTGCTTGTATTGCGATCCCATTCCTATATTTCTCTGCACAACTATGACGAGAGACCAGAGAGGAGTATGCTTATGCATTGCTTTTTTTAGAGTGACACTAGTAACTACTAACTTGATAGGTTGAGTGTTTGTCTGAATTTGGTTTGTTTTGTTTTTCTTATCTGAACAAGAATTTGGTTTTGGCTTTGTACAACACTATTTCCTGACTGTCGACCGATACATGAAATTCTGTGGCTGATACGGAAAAATCATACTAAATTTTCAGTATGCAAAATTTGTTAAGCCTGCCTTCGATGATTTTATTCTTCCATCCAAAAAGTATGCTGACATAATCATACCTCGTGGGGGAGATAATTGTGTAGCAATTGACTTGATCGTTCAACATATCCGCACTAAGCTTGGCCAACATAACCTCTGTAAGATATATCCAAATTTGCATGTGATACAGCCTACTTTCCAGGTGATTTTCGTATTACGGCATTTCCTCCTCCAAAACTCTGTTTTTTTTATGCTCCAAGGAGAATTTATCATGCTAACTTCTAAAGTTTGAGCTTTCTTACAGACTAGAGGCATGCACACTCTTATTCGGGATACAGAAATATCCAAGCATGACTTTATTTTTTATTCAGATAGGCTGATTCGTTTGGTAGGTCATGCTTTATACATTGTGACAGGATTTACAGCCTCCACTAACAAACTTATATTATTATCACTGAACTTAACAGGTAGTGGAGCATGGTCTTGGTTACTTGCCGTTTACAGAAAAACAAGTTATCACACCTACAGGTCTGTCTAAGGAAGAGGAAATATCATTCAATCGTATAAATTTATCACCGAGAGAGAAAGACTGCTAAATTTTATTTTTGCCACATTTCAGGATCAATTTATATTGGAGTTGATTTTTGTAAGAAATTGTGTGGAGTATCTATTATTCGAAGGTATTTTTTTTTTCTATTTCTTCTAAGCTCATCGTTAAATTGGAAAGAAATTTGTTAGAATTATCAAGATACCGTTATCTATTTTAGAGATTTTAATTCCAATTCCAACTTAGTTAACATCTGGTAACCATTTTTTTTTAAAATTCGGAATCCGAGAGAGATCAGGAGTTTTTACGCCATATTGTTTATAAATACTTCTTCAGTTGTTTTATTCATGAAGAAAAGGCAAATTTATAGTTTACCGTAATTTACAGTGGTGAAAGCATGGAAAATGCTTTGCGTGCATGCTGTAAAGGAATAAAAATTGGAAAAATTCTCATTCACCGTGGAGGTGATGAAACCCAGGTAATCAGTTTTCATTTTTTACTCTATTTTTTCTTGAATATGTTAGTTTCTGTGTAAGATGAGATGATACAATATAAATCTTTTGAAATGTAACTTATCATAATGTTTTCTTTCTATAAGCTTATTTATGAGAAGCTCCCTAAAGACATTTCAGAGAGACGTGTTCTTCTCATGGACCCAGTACTTGGCACAGGTCAGTTATCAGAAGTCAACTTTTTATTCATCATAAGATGTTTTTTAACACTGTCTCGGTATACACACAACAAATTGATTTGGATTAGCAATAATACATTATAATTACAGCTATATAAGATTGGAAAATATTAACATCATGCACCTTATTATATTGAATTGTTCAGGTAACTCTGCCAGCCAAGCAATTGAGCTACTTATTAAGAAAGGAGTTCCAGAGTCCCGGATAATATTCCTTAACCTTGTCTCTGTAAGTTATTCAATTGAATACTTGTAAAACCATACTAATGTTCAATGAATATCAATATAATAAATTTCAAAATTGATTTTCAGGCGCCCGAGGGAATACATTATGTATGTAAACGCTTTCCGCACATAAAAGTTGTTACTTCGGAGATTGAAGAAGGACTAAATGACCAGTGCCATGTCGTGCCTGGGTTAGGAGAATTTGGTGACCGGTATTTTGGTACAGATGACTCCTAGAGACAAAAACCTTAAACAATGGCAAACAATGGAGGGGAGAAAAAACTCAGAAAAGAAGTTGGGATTTATTACTGTGTATAATATTCATTTATGCTTATCATGAACAACCACAGCCTAATGATAGATAAGATATTTTGATTATTCAACTAAACTAAAAAATAAATTCTGTTATAAATATGACTCGTGGGAGGAACAGGCTTAATTAGAGCCCATTCTGTTATAAATATGACCCGTGGAAGGAACAGGCTTAATTAGAGCCCATACTTAACATTTCTCATATCTACACTCCACATACATTCCCTCCCCGCTCCACATTCGGTATGCCTTAAACTATCACCCCATGAGTATGAACCTCAATTTGCTTCCTATAACAATTGGCTACCCAAGAACTTCCACCTCATTTTGCTAATAATTGGTTGTGTAACATTCTAAGACTTGTATACCAGTGAAATGGTACAATTACATGCGTAATAACGGGCCGATTTATAAGTGCTCGTTGGCAGAGAAAAAATGATGTGGAATATTTTGGTCCAAGCGTGCGAACGGTTCTTGAGTTCAATTTAGCGTATTTTGGGTGACTTCAATTCAGTTCTTTGTCGTGTTGAGGGGAAAGGAGTGGGAGTGGGATTCCAAGGCTCAACCTTAATGGAATCCCTTGAGTTTGGGGCTTTTAATGAGGCGATGGGGTTGGTGGATATGCCTTAGTTGTGTAGGAAGTTTACTTGGTTTCATAGGAATGGGAACAGGAAGTTTATGGGCTAGCGTGTTTCTGATCATTATTTGATAGTGGTTAAGTATCCTTCGCAATTTTGAGGACCGAAATCTTTCCGGTTCAACAATTTTTGGTTGAAGAGTTCCAATTTTGAGACGGCGGCTCTTGAGTCCTGAAAAATGTTGAGACAAGTGCATGGCGTGCATGCTTAGGGATAAGTCGACAACACTTAGAAGGGTCCTTAAAGTCTAGAATAGAGAAGAGTTTGGTAGTTAAAATTTAAAACTAAGGTTTGTTTGGATAAGCTTGAGAGTTTGGAGCTTAGTGCAAAGTTTGAGCCGCTTTCTCATGAGGAGTTGGATTATAAATCGAGTGTTAGTCAAGAGTTGTGGAAGCTTACCTAGTATCGTGATTCTCATATTTTTTTAGAGGTTTATATTGGCTTGGCTGAAGGAAGAGAATGTTAATATTGGGTACTTTCGTGCATGTGTTAAGCAGAGGTGTAGGGGGAATAGTTTGGTTGTTCTCCATGTGGGTGATATTTGGTAAGAAAAGATTTTTGAGTTTAAATAGGAGATCTCTAGGTATTTTAGAGATCATTTTTCTAATTCTGAGGGTCTCAGGCCCAATATCGTTGGGATCTCCTTTTCAGATCTCTCTTTTACGGAGGTTGAGTCCCTTTTTGTTAGGTTTTCGCCTTCTAAAATGGATGCAGTGGTAGTTGAGATTGATGGGACTAAGAGTTTGAATCCTGATGATTTTGATTTTTCTTTTTATAAGAAGTTTTAGGGTTTAGTTAACAGATAGGTTTATGAGTTATTTTACTAATTCTTTGTGAACGCAGTGGGCCTAAGAGTTTGATGTCCTTCTTTTTTGCTCTCATTCTGAAGGTTGAGTATCCTCTAGAGTTGGGACACTTTAGAATTACCTCCCTTCTTGGTTCTTAGTATAAATTTGTGTGGCTTAGGTGTTGATTGTTAGGTTATCTAGTGTCATGGATGAGATTTTAAATCTTGCAAAGGTGTCTAAGGGAGAGTGTTGTGTTTAAGTGGATTTCGAGAAGGCTTACGACCTGGTTAGTTGGTATTTCCTAGATTATATGTTGAGGAAGCTTGGTTTTTGCGATAGGTCAAAGGGTTGAAATTGAGTGTGTGTTTGTGTGTGTTGTGTGTATGTGTGTTTTGGTAGTGTTACAGTTTTGGTGAATGGGTGTCTAATGGACAAAATCAATATTCAAATGGGTCTGAAGTAAGGAGACTCATTAGCTCCCTTTCTTTTTATTTTAGTGGTAAAAGATCTAATTGCTTCTTTGAAAAGGCAGTTTCAGTGGGTGTATTTTAGAGTTTTAAGGTGGGCACGGATGAGTTGGAGGTGTTTCATCTCTAATGTGTTGATGATACAGTATTGGTAGGGATTTCATCGATGGAAAACCTTTTGACCATTAAGGCGGTTCTAAAAAATTTTGAGTTTGCCTCTGCACTTAAAGTGAATTTTGCTAAGGGTTGTTTGTTTGGTGTTAATGTGGGGTAGCCTTATTTGGAACAGGTTGAGGATTTCCTGTAAGTATTGAGTGCGGGTGAATTAGGTTTACTGATTTTTAGAAAGAAAGTAACAAATTTTTGCCTTAAGAATTTTTTGATTTACTTTAACTGGTTTTATGAGTAATGAAGTGATGGATTTATTTTTCTAGTTTAAGATATAGAATTGATCTGCAAAAAAATAAATACAGTAAAGTAAATGAACACGGATAATTATAATAGTTTCCCTTATCAACGAAGGGTACATCTAGTCCTCTCACACCCTGTGATAGATTTCACTATTGTTAGATCTTTGTACAAGCTTGACACCAAGACTTCTCCTACAATCTTTTAACAACAAGAAAGAAACAAATCACTTTATTGATTTTCAAACACGAACAACTATGGTAGACTTTGAATCACCATGATTCAAAGGACCTTTCCAACAAATAAATATATTTGCAACTATCTGTAGAAAGATCAACATCTTTCTTACAGACAAAAATCATCACACACTTGATGAAAAAATACAGTAATTTGTATGAAATATATTATATTAAGACTTTGCAGTAACTATGATGAAATTGATACTTAGTTGCTTTTATGATGTATGAAAGTTTAATCTTCTTCTTCAACGAACAAATCTATATGATATAAACATTTAAGTGCTCAAGTGTTTCTCTAAACATTTTCACATTAAAATGAAAGTTATGCATGAAAAAGTTTTCTGTTAAAATGTTACACACTTGAAAAGCAGTAAAAATGTTCATGAAAAGGTGATTTTGAATTTAAAAAATACTTCTATTTATACTGAATCATGCACCTCTTAATTTTCAAAAACAATTGTTGAAAAAAGCTTATCAACAATTGTCATGGTTATGAAAAAATTTACAGATGAAAAGAGGTGACAAAATAATACAATATTATAGTAATTTTTCAAACAACATAATGGTTAATTGATATGCACCATATGGATAATCAATTACCCTAGTTTCGTTCAAAAGTAAGTGAAAAATAATTAGATTTATTGATTAATTGATACGTTAATTAATTAACTTAATTCAAAATTAGGATGGTTAATTGATTAACTCATATAGGTTAGTGGGAGTATTTTAACATTCAACCACTAATAGGAAAATCTTTGCTTATTCAAATTATGCTCCTTAAACTTTATTATGAGAAAGATCAAAAATTTTATTTAATTAATTATTAATTGATTTTTAAATTAAAAATTATTTCTTGAGCATATAAACCTTATAACAAATGAATTGTACATTTTACTTTGGTCTATGATCCCGTATCATTGAAATTTAAATTTTAATACAAACTTAATACTTGATTCAAACTTTTTCTTTTTTTAATATTTCTTTTTAAGATAGTCTTTTTGTCTTCATCAAAATCAAAAAAGATAGACATATCTTCTTCACATTTTCTTCATTTTACGGTGGATTCTTTGCCTTTTAAGTATTTAAGAATTTCAATGGTGCAAACCTGAAGAAGGTTGGGACTTTGGATCCTCTAATAAAGCTTGTTTCTAAGAAATTAGCTTTATGAAGAAATAGATTTGCGAGTTTAGGTGAAGGTGGTCATGTTGATCTCAGATTTGAATTCGAGTTAAACATTAATCATTCAACCAAAGATTGTCATTCAATGCCACATTATTTATTTTATTTTGAAATAAGTTAAAAATCGAATCAACTCGAAAATAATTCGGAACTCGGTTCCATAATTAAATCATTGAACTAAGTTCGTGAACCAAATGAGTTGAATATGAACGAAAAACTATGTTCATTAACTAAATGAGCTGAACTTGAACTATACATAGCTCGATTCATTAGGTTTATGAGTTAGTTTGATTAAATATGAGAATGATTATATTATTTTAAAGAGTAGATTTAAAGATTTACTTCAAAATTTAACCCTATATTATCGCTTACGTACTAGTTATGACAATAAAATTGACAATTACATTTAGAGTCATCATTTTTAAAGACATTATGTCATTTGCTAAAGTGGTGTAATCATCTTGTGATGAAAATATATCAAATTCTAGTAATTTTTGTGTACTATTTCATTCAATTCGCAAGTTTCCTAAATATTTGACAAATTTATGAATTTTAGAAATAAATTTCAATTTCAATCGAGTGTTTTTTGAATTAGACTTTTAAATGTATCTCTTGAAAATCGTCGTTTTTTAATTAGTAGATTTTTAAAACAAAATTAAAGTTCATACTCATAATTTTTATTTTATTTTAATATTTTTTTTAAAAATATATATTAATTTAAAATGCCATATATATATATATATATATATATATATATATATATATATATATATATATATATATATATATATATATATATATATATATATATATATATATATATATATATATATATATATATATATATATATATATATATATATATATATAAAATAGACTTAAAAAATGGCTTTTAAACCCGTGAAGCAAGTAAGTTGAACCTAACAAGATAATCGAATAGTTCGTGAACTTTTAACGAGTCAAGTTTTAGCTTAAAAAATAATTCGTGTCGAACTCGAATTGAAATTTGATCTGAACCAATTCTTAACAAATCAAGTCAAGCTAAGACAAGTTCGACTCGATTCGACTCATTTTCAGTCCTATACTCAAGTAAAACTGATAAGTACTAAAGAATTTATATCAGATGTTAAAAACTACTAAGTTAAAAGACAAGAGATGGATTCTGCTATTTCAACCAAACTTCATATTTCGTGCATTGGTTCTCTT